CTCTTATTTTCCATCACACATAGGTGTCCCTGTTATTAGCATGCATCAAAAACAATACATAAGTCTGTATTAAAGGTATCAGCTTTATAAGGAAAAGAGCTATAAAACTACAATAATCTTTAATAGCTTCCCCATCTGGCATAACAAATTCTGAATTAACACTTTTGGCATATCAACTACCTAAAAAGAGAATAAAACTAAATGAACACAAAACACTAAAATCTATCTTGACAAGGAAAAGCAGGTTTTCAGCATCTATGAAAATATTGACAAAAATAACTCAACATTTATTAAGTGAACACTACATGCATGGTATGTTTGGCATTAGTGACATAAAGATGAATTAAGCATTAACTCCCATCCAAAAAGACACAACTTATTATAAACTGCAATTTATTAGGATGTATAAAGCATGTTCACAAATAGCTATAATCTGAATTATAAAATCTCAGAGTTGGAAAGGACATCAGAAGCCATCTAGAACAACACATACAATAATTTTTTCTATGACCTGCTCAACAAGTATTAATACAGTCTTTGCTTGCAGCAAAGAGAGGGAGAGTCCAATACCCCAAAGTCAGCCCACGAATAAGCTTTTCCTTCCTAAATTAGCCTCTCAGTAACTTATAAATTTATTCTGGAGGGAGGTCTAAACCAAGTGCCATAAGCAATATGAATTAGAAAGATCCATCCTAGTTACTGGATCTGGGAAGTTCATAGAGAGGGAGCACTAGAGCTGAGTCTTGAAGGAAAGGTAAGACAGAAATAGGGAATATGATAGGAGTTCGATCCATGTGCTGGAAGCAGTATGAGCAAAGAAACAATGATGGGAAATAGGACGAGGAGGTTGGATACTGTGTATAATCCAGTGTGGGTGTAATGTGGAATATGTGAAGGGGAATAGGGTAAGGCAAAGCTAGAAATACAAGCTGAAGTAAAATCATGGAAGACCTTGAATTCTGGGCTAAGGATATGATACTTTTTTTGAGAGGTTACACAATGGATAGCCACTGAAATTCTGGGAACAGAGGAATGATATATGATAGAACATTATATACATACACACACATATATATACACACACACACATACACACATATATACACATGTGTGTGTATGCGTGTGTGTGTACACAGCCATACAGACACATATATACACCTGTGCATAAGGAAATTTATTCTAATAGTGGTATAGAAAACGGATGAGGGGAGGCAGCTAGGTGGCACAGTAGATAGAGCACCAACCCTAGACTCAAATCTGGCCTCAGACACAACACTCACTAGCTGTGTGACTCTGGGCAAGTCACTTAACCCCAACCACCTCACCAAAAGAAAAAAAAAAAGAAAAAGAAAGAAAGAAAATGGATGAGGAAAAGTGCCAAAGGTCTGAATCAAAACGGTGAGTAATAGTGGGATAAAAAAAGACAGATTTGAGATTATGTAGGGAAAATTAAAAGGTCTTGGCATTATTGAAAGAGTTGACTATTTGAAACAAGCTTAAGTAAAGAGGGAAGTGAAGCCAGAATAAGATTAGGATGGCTGGGTAGAATAAGGAGGAATTATGGAACCAGAAATCACAACAACAAAGAGTAGGTTAAGCAGAAGTGAGGGTACGGGCAGGTGCAAGGTTGCAGATTATTATCAAAAGGACAATTTCAGAATTCAATATCTTGGAAGTTAAACAAATTCAAGCGATGGTGAAGTCTAAGGCGTGATCATTTGGAAGCTGACTGATTGATACAGGTTTAACTGGAAGTTCTAAGAACTGAGAAGTTCAGAGAACTGCTTAGTCAAAGCATTAGAAGGGTCACCAACCAGACCTCCAGAATTACTGGAAGCATATGGGATAGAAAGAAGAGTAAGATGCATCTTAATGAGAAGGTGGAGGAGTATCCTATAACACGAAGGATGGCTGAGAGTCACATAATCATATAGGATAACTTACGAGAAATGTTTCTGAGTGACAGTAGCAAAAGCTTTTAAGTGGAAGTATGGAACAAGGAATAACAGAAATTGTTCTTCCTGACCTTATGAGTTTAACAGAACAGGATAAAAAGAGGTCATTACAAGTTTGGGTTACCAGAGATACCAGGTTCTAGTTAATTAGAGGTTAAAAGAGTATAAAGATAGAGATCAAGGATGAATTGGGAAAAAAATAAAACCAAGCACATGTTCACTTGTAAAGAAATAAAGGGGATGATTGTTAGCAATAAAATAAAGTTCCAAAGGGAACACTAGACGAAACTAGTAAAGAGGTGGCGAGGGTGGATAACCCAGGCACCATCCCAGTTCTGGCCCCCATCATCTCTCAACTGGAAAATCTCCACAACTGCCTCCTACTTGGTCTCCCTGTTTCCAATCTCTGCTTTCTCCAGTCCATTCTCCACAAAGCTGCCAAAGTGACATTTCTAAAGCAGCTTCCATCAAGACTCAGTTCAGTTGCCATCTCCCATACAAAGCCAGCCCTAACCCCTTCTCCCAGGACATACTTTGTATCTACACTGTCCATACTTTGTATTTAATTTCTTTGTACACATTGTATTGTTTTCCCCCCAGTAGGATTGAAGTTCTTGGAAGAATACTTTTTGTTTTTTGTCTTTATATCCCCAATGCCTAGTATGTGTCTGACACACAGCAGGCACTTAATAAATACCTTGTATTAATTAACTAAAGATGTTAAATAAATTAAAATGTTTCCAATAATTTAATGTTAATCCTTTTTGTGTATTCTACGTTCCAGCCAAACTGGATTACTAGCTATATTCTGCAAACTTGCTATGCCATCTCCCACCTCTAGTAGTAGTCCAGCAGTCTTGCATGCTTTTTCTATACATGCCACTTTTCAGAATCCTTTTTTTTTTTTTTTTTGCAGGGCTCAGTTCAAGTGCTACCAGCTCAAGAAAACCATCCCTGATTCCCCAAATAAAAGTGTTGTCTCCTTTCTCAAACATATTTGTGGCAATTTGGACAAGGTTCATCATCTGCCCTTAGCACACTTTGCCTTTTACTAGATTTATCTATTTACACGTTCTATTCCCCATCCCTAGCAGAATGTAAGCTCCTTGAGGACAGGAACTATGGTTGTTTTTTTGTTTTGTTTTGTTTTGTTTTTTGGTATCCTAAGCACCTAGTACAATGCCCTGCACATAGTAGATACTTAATAGATGTTTGCTGGATTAAAAGTTTCTCAGCAGGACATTACAGAATACATATTAAAACATCTACTGAAGAAAACATTATTTAAGCAAAATGGCCTTCAATTTCTTCTTTTGCAATATGTGATTACTCTAAATTATTAAAAGCAAGCCTTTCTGACATGACATAGTTATTTATACCTGGGTTTAAACAGATCTAATTTATATCAAATCTAAACTAAATTTCAATCTATAATAAATGCAAACTTTTGGGGTTTTTTCCCACCAAAGAGGGGGAATGGCAAATGCAGCTCCTTACTGAGAAATAACGGTAATCAAAATTGGAATTTCTCAATGCCACATGTATTTCAGCAACAGTAAATACAGAATTAAGAGGTAAATAATCACATGACACTTTTCTAAACACTTCATAAGAACAATTTTTACATATTTAAAAAGGTTCTTTCCCATCTATCCAAATTCCCAAGATACATATGTATATGTATACATACACTCATATATACATATATTCCTATTTATGAAAAACGGAAAATTTATTACATTTGTTCCACTCTCCAATTTCAAAGCTAATATATTTTTATTCCATAAAATTTAAACTATTTAAAGTATGAAATAGAAAAGGCATATTTTCATTCAAATTTTTAAGTAATCAATGTTTTAATAACTCAAATATTGATTTTTTTCTCTTACCAAATAACCGCAACACAAGAAAGTATCTGCTTTTGAAAATCTAATATTATGTACTTACACATTCAGCCCTTATATTCTGCCTATTTAATACTTCATTTTAAAGAAACATATACTTTTTTAAGGTCATTGGAGTTAAGTGACTTGCCCAGAGTCACACACCTAGTAAGTATCTGAGGCCAGATCTGAACTCAGGTCTTCCTGACTCCAGGGCTGGTATTCTATCCACTGTACCACTTAGCTGCCCCAAAATGTATACTTTTTAAAAAGCAACTTCTGCTCTTGTTATTAAGAATATTTCAATGACAATATCATGAATGAGAATAACATCTGAATGAGAAATGAACATAAAAAAGTAACTATAGCATATAGAAATATCATAATCCCACAAAAGGCACAGGGCAATAAATTCTTCAAAAGAAAACCATATAAGTCAAGTAAGTATACCTTAAAACCATGAGTCAAGTATACCTGAAGATATGCTAAACTTAAAAATAATTAAAGTATAGGGCAGTCAGTAGTTTTAAGGATCATCTTTAATAACAGGGGTACTTTTAATATTTAATAACTGACTGAGGTTTTTAACCTGGAGTCCAACTCTAGAGGTTCATGAACTTGATTAAGAAAAAAACTATGTCCTTATTTTCACTAACTTTGGTTTCTTTTGTAATCCTATGTATTTTATTTCATGTATTTTAAAAATTTTATTTTAAGAAGGGGTCCCTAGGTTTTACCAGACTGCCAAAGAGGTTCATCATACACATACCCACACACACGCGCCTTCTGTTTTAGATTTGAGGATTGACATTTATGTATTTCAGACATTCTATTTGTTTGCTAGTATCGCACATACCTTCTATTTGTAATGGTCTACTACATACATCTCTTGCTGAATAAAATAAAATGACTTGACCACAAATTTAAGTTAACAGAAAAAAATTAGACAAGAACTAAATAATACCCCACCCCGCAACAAGAAGTGGTAAAAACAGACTAGCACAAAGTAGACAAATAAAAGAATAAAAAGAATTGATGTAGAAAATGGCTAAAGACTGAAAGAAAACAAACTCAAGAGCTCACAGTTTAGAGTTAAGATTGAAGTGTCTGTTAGAAGCTTATTTTTCACATTAACATTTGAGAACATAGAACGAACACTTACCTTACAACTATAAGTACGGCAATAAGGATTGAACAAATAGGATCTGCTATCATTAGACCAAAGTTTTGCATCATGATGGCAGATGCAATTACACCAATACTCCCCAATGTGTCTGCTAAAATGTGTAAAAATACACCTATAATAAAGTATAAACAGAATCAAATTAATATCTTAGAAACTAAAAAGTATAAAAATAATGAATCTTTAATCAAAATTAAATCTTCTAAAGTACTCAAGTGGCTACATAATGTCTATTTGTTTCCCTTAGTGTCTTTCGGTGTATTCTATAGGAGACTTTTAGTTGTTGTGGCTGAAAAATAAAGGCTAAACAAACATTCACTTAAAATATTTTAAAGCTGCAGATAAATCATTACTAGATAAATAAATTATTTAAAAGATAAAGTAAGTAAGTCATTACTAAATAAAGTGGCTTTCACTTGACCAAACCATTAGGAAGTTATGTTACCTATGAGTTAAAGTTATTCTGATAAGCCTGAATATTGTGACCTATTTCAATATAAGTATTTCAATAAACTTATAAAAACATCTTATATAAATTCACTTACGGGTTTAAAATTTATGTAATACAATCCCTTTTTAAAAATTCAATATGTTTTAAGCAAAAAAAAAAGTCAAGTACATATTCCCAGTGTGATGCCAGAAAAAAATAGGTACACAGAGCCCTCTGCTGGTAATTCAACTTACAAACTTTAATGACAAATATTTTTTGCCATACAATTTTCCTTTTCTTCTAATGGGAGTCCTATATAAGTTATATTTTCTTACAGAGTTTCTTACAGATAAAAGTTATCCATTAAGCTCAAGCTCCATAATGTGGAGGTTAAACTTTGTATTTATAAGATACAGCAAGCTTAAGTTATTTTAAGAAACTTAAACTTTCTATTTGTCATTGAATAAATGAAATGACTACAAAACCTTTAGCAAATCCAAGAACTAAGTTTCAGATATAGTTCCACCACAATTTATACAATAATTTCTGTTTAACTTAAATTTAAAATAATAAAGCAACCAGATTTTCAACAAGTTAAATATAAAAGAGGTTTTATTTCCCTATATAAACATCAAAAAATAATCTAACATTTGTATGTGATACATGCAAGTTCATCACATTATTAGTAAAAACATGGCAAATATAATGCCATCTACCACCACAATAAATATATATATACAAATATACAAAAAATATATATATATACAAATATACAAAACCACCACAGTAAATGCCTACTGCACATACTTCATCTGGGCTTTATAGATGATTTACACAATTATACAACTCTTCAACAATTTTTCAAGTCACCTTATTGGCTAATGTAGAAACCACTACAAAATAACAGTACTTATCCATTTTACAAATACTTGTTCCTTTTTTAAAACTGTTCAACAGAAGAAACTGTAGGAGAATTACAATCTATTTTAATTACAGAAATAAGAATTTAATTACCTGAGTAAAAAGACAAAAACTCAGACAAACCTAAGCAGAGTGAATTCTACACAAATCCATAAATTCTTCTGCTAAATTAGAATTTATTCCAAACACATACATGATACAATCAGTAGGTCATCAGTCAGGGCTTAGAAAACCTTGTTTTGGATTTCCAAAAAGATTTTTTTATTAAAATTGGATTTCTATCTGACTTAATTACTTAATTACTCTAAAGAAAAAAAATCTTAAATAATAAAGGCTATAAGAAATAAAAAATTTATTTAAAGAAAAATAGTTTAGCGTTTCCCAAATGTATCTACTTTAGAAGGCAAGGAATTAAAGATGTCAAACAAATATGGTAAGGATCACTGTTCAGATTAAAATTATCTTTTGAATGACACAGAAGAGAACCACAGAAAACATACCACAGTGGTTTAGGGGCCCCTGAACCACAAACTCTTAATTGATTTGTATTCTTAGACCACTATACATCTTTAGTGGATATTTTAAGAATTGAAACTAGTCGGCAGGCACTGTTAGAAAAAAAAAAAAAGAATCTTTAGATAGGGAAATTTCTGGATAGACCATATTAGTTAGCGCCTTGAATGTTATTTTTATTAACATGTCAGAATTATACAACCCTTTGTAAGTTTCCAAATTCCATTTAGGAAAGGGGAAAAAACAGAGGAAAAAAAATCACATTTTGACTTATACACAAAATTTCAAACCTCACTTAATGAAATTTACCTTAAAAACTAGAAAGTCAACAAGTATATTAAAGATGCTTTAAATATTTTTATTTAAAAGCAATTAAGTTCTTCTTTTATGTGTGTGTGTGTGTGTGTGTATGTGTGTGTGTGTGTGTTTGTATGCATGTATATATAAACTGTCACCTTTGGAGATTACCCAAATCAAACTACAGGCTACCCCTGTAATCCAGAATACTGTTCCATACTTCTGGATGATCTTAGCCTACCCACTAATTGCAATGCTAGATTTAGAAAAACTATAATCTATTAGTTAAATTTGTTGAACCATGCCCCCCCTTCAAATAATGAATTATCAAGACAAAAATAAATTATTAGCAAATATAAAGTAAATTTGATTGTGTATAACAAATATGCATCATTACAAGATATTTCAGCAAAAGTTCTATATTAATTCTGCAAACCTCTGCAACAATACACCAATGGATAAAAAACATGTTATGGTTCCTAAAAATAAACTGGAGAGTAAGGATCCTAATCCAAGGGAATAGTTTAAGGTGAGGGTCAAGTCAAGAATTTTAAGAAGAGAATAGTGAAAGAATGAAGTACAATAAAAATAAGGTTCAGAGTTAGTAAAGGAGGAGGTCGATTTGGTGTCAGGAGAAGGACCTCTGAGGTAGATGAGTCCAACCTCCTCATTTTACAACTATTTCCCAGAAAGTATAGAATTTTTTCACTACAAATAATCATTTTAGTCTTCTATGAAATGTTAACACCAGATTACTAATGACTATGTAAAAAATTTAAGAGAAAAACAGAAAAACGGCAAGTGCAAATTTCTCCTACCTTGTAAGATCTGTCTGCTGGGTCCTGTTGTTCCTTTAATTGAGGGACCATCTGTAAAGAGTTTTTGTCATGTTAACATGGAATGTTCTTTTTTTTTAATTATTTAAACTGATTTCTAACTAAAACTAACTAGTTTTCATTCTAATGCATCTATAGAATTGCACATAATTATGTAGACTTGCAAATTAATTTTAACATTTCCATTACTAAAATTAGACTAGACTAAAAATAATAATCTTGATTAGTCTGGAAATAAACACAAAGGCAATTTCAAGCTGTATGAAGGATACAGCATATATCTTAAAAATAATATTTTCCAAAGACATCTGGCAAAATAACAAGTCACTTTTTGAAAAAATTCTTTGACCTTTTAAAAATCTCTACAAAGGAGGATACTACCATTATTTGCAATTAGATCTATCACAGAAAGGTAAATGGCTACCTAAAATCATGAAGAAAGATAAGAATGGTCCATAGAAGAATCTAGGATAACTAACTAAAGAAAAACTCTTTCCAATTTCTTCCAATTTAGAATGGAATAAAGAAACCAACCCACTTTCAATCTTCATCCAAAAGGGACCAAATATATAGTATCTACTTACTTTATCATACTGAATTTGTGATATAAAGATCAAACATATACAATTCTTGAACTAAAATATTTCGAAATGGTCAACAACTTCAAAATTAAATCAGAACTACAGCTGCCAATTATCATCAATATGATCTCTAAGCTGAATTTAGAATTAGAGCTAAAAGTCTCTATATTTATACTTATGAAGAAACTTGCTTGAGATTCATAGTTGGTGGCCTGAGGTTGTCCAAACAGTAGTTATCTGATATGTCTTGACACCACTGCCTAAGAGGCTGAGGTAAGAACATGCTATCAGATGAAAGACAGAGTTGTCTATAAAGAAGAACTATCACCTTGTAAGACATATTTTCTTTCTCACTGGTCTGGAGAAGAGGACACACATGATCATACGGTAGATCTTACAAATGAAGATGCCGTTAAAACTAGCTCTTGATCAGTTAAAATGACAACTCACATTTACATACATTTTTCACAATAACCTGTGGGGTAGATAGTACAAGTTGTCTCATTTTATAGACAAAGAAGTGAGGTTTAGATCTACAGCTTGCAAATATGGTTCACAAAACACACCTAGCTCCTCCGCCAATTAGCAAGCAGCCCCTGTGTCATGATTCTTCTGGTCAGTTCATCCAAATGTTTTTCAATATTTGTTAAGATCTGTATTTTCATCAATGTGGGTATGACTTTTCCTAATGCAGCAAGCACACAATCCTTCCAAATGATGTAAGATAGTCTTCATGAGTTGCTGTGATCAAAAACATACCCTTTAAGGCATGCCCTCAAGTAACAAGCTATCAATTAAGTCTTTGAAGGCAAGAGATTAGTTTTGCCTTGTTCAAAAGGACTAGCGTGTTTTATTATTTGAACTTTCATATGTTCAAAGTGATCTCCCCAAAATATTCCCAGTCTCCCAAGTACTGGTCTAAGCCTGGTAGGGAGCTATTCCAGAGGCTGCTTTTTTTTCCTAACACAACCTGACTTTTTTTTTTAAAGTCATAATCTATAAACTTTACAAGGAATATCAGTTTCTAATTCTTCCATGGTATAAGAAAAAAATCTAAGAGATTTGTTCTTTACTGAACAATTTTTTTATTTAAATTTTAAAATCTAGATTAAAAAGGATAGACATATATCACTTTCCTTAGAATTAGTAACAAACTTGAACCAGTGCTATCCAAGGGCTCTAACCTCTAAAAGTCAATAAAGACAGTTAATGGCAACAGTACTAGTGCATTTCCTGCATAGTCTCTGTCCAAATGTGAGAGTTAAGAGCTTTGAACAATGTTGGAGTTGCCTAGAATAATGCCTGACCAAAAGAAAAAAAAATGGGGCTCCATACAATGTTACCAAAAGGCACTAAGGAAAAAAAGCAAGAGTTACTGCAGGGGCAGCTAGGTGGTGCAGTGGATATAGCACTGACCCTGGAGTCAGGAGAACCTGAGTTCAAATTTGGCCTTAGGCACATAACACTCACTAGCTGTGTAACCCTGGACAAGTCACTTAAAAAGAGTTACTACAGATAGCAAAGAATTTTTGGGGGGAGGTTGTTTTTTTTTGAAAAACATGTATATCCAGCAGATACAAAACTATTAAAAATTTCAAATATAGCCCAAAGTCTTAGTGTAGTTTTAAGCTTAATTAGCTTAAATTTACTTTAATAGCTTAAAACTGCACTAAGACTTTTTGGAACACCCTGTGTAACAAAATCCAGAAGATTAAAATAACATCAGCTAAAAGTTCATTTTTAATATTAAGAGAAGAGGGGATTGCTAATGATAAAGTACACTACCAAAAAGTCACAATTGATTGTTAGATGTAAAAAACACTGTCAAAGTAACTTTGATCATTACAGTGGATGGTTTAAAAAAATATCCCCTCACTTAACATTCAGGACCTCATTGTGGCAAGGAAGTGACCTTCAAATCTTAAAGGCCACGTCAGTAGACCACAAACTCATGCCAAGCTAAAGTGTTTTAAGGAAGTAAGAGTCTCAGCAACAAACTCTGTGACTTTTATCTAAAGACCAGCCTCATTAAATTCAGAAAGGATCAATCACCAGATGGCTGGATACCACATCAATATTTTTGGCCAAAACAACTAACGAAGCTACCTACTAAATCATGAAGGTGCTGCAAACTGCATTGGTGGAAAAAATAGTGAAGTGATTAAATTACGTATCTTCTGAAGTAATGAAATAATAATTTTAAAAGATTTCAAATTCAAACAAAGTTGCCTTCCCATTATTGCAATATACATTTTTACTGTATTCATTTTTTTCAGCCACCAGAAATGAAGATTCCCCTCCCCCTCAAAAAAAATCTTGAGGGGGCAGCTAGGTGGCGCAATGAATAGAGCTCTGGCTTTGGAATCAGAAGGACCTGAGTTCAAATCTAGCCTCAGACACTTAACACTTTACTAGCTGTGTGACCTTGGGCAAGGCACTTAACATTAACCCCATCGCCTCACCAAAAAGAAAAAAAAAAATTTTTTAAAAATCCTGAAACTGAAAAGTTTTAAGTAGAAGCTATAAATCTGATAGTAACTCAAACATCTTTCATTTATTTGTTTTTCAGCAGTAGCTAAATTATAATGGGGGAAGAGGTTGAAATCAATTTGAAATGTATACATAGAACAGTTTTGAATCTTATTTATGATTCTCTCTTTAAAAACTTCTAAAAGTAATTATTTAGGATTCAAGCATCCCCCAAAACAACTGAAATTTCTAAACTGATCTTGAAAACACATTTTGTATAATGTACTATCAAAAAATGAAAATTTAGTGGCAACCAACAAATTTTTAATTAAAAAATATTTTTAATACTGTAAAGGTATGCTTTCTAAAACACAAGAGAAAGTAAATTGTTTTCACACACACACACAAACACACACATACACACACACACACACACTAGAGGCCAACCAAACATACCACCCAAATGCCTGCTTGCCAAACTAAGTTGTTGCATTAAGTTGCAGTTCATACAACAAAATGTACTACAAAATGTATAAGTAAATGTACATCAGTTAGTTCTGCCGATGCCTAATGAGACAAATAAAATAAAAATGCTTCTAAAGATTTAAAATCACTACTGCATTTTTAAAAATCTGTGTCAAATACTGGCAATGGAAAAAATGCATAATATGATTTTCCTAAAAACATAACTGCCATTAATTATCACATTTATTGAAACAGCACTATTTTATCACTACCTACAACTTGAAAAATCAGACCACATCCTGTGTTTTATGCTACACTTATTTCTTTGCAGAGTCCAGGTTAAAGAATTCTAGGAACAAAACTGACAGCCCACATGAAAGGGAAAAATGATCCTTGTCTTTTACATCTACTTAAGAGTCTTACTCTGAATGTCCTCCTGTGGTACTCACCATGACAGTCAAAGTGTCCGTGTCCATGATCGTGACTATGTGCATCATGTTTCAATTCATGACTATGGCCATGGTCTCCATGACCATGGCCATGATCTCCATGTCCATGTCCATGATCAAGTGCACCATTAAAGAGGGAATGACTATGTCCATGCCCTACAAAGGAAAAAAACAATATAGTTTAGATAAAGAATGTATAAAAATGGATTAAAATATAAATTCCACATGTTAATACTCTGATGCATCCCAAGGACACACTACTCCAAAAATTTCATTGCCAGAAATAGAAATAATATAGGTGACATGTGGATGCATTTCAAGTTATTAGATAAAAGAGACAATTACGATTTTTAAAATTAATAATAATATTTTAGAAGATAAAGTAATAGCAAATGTTCCAGAAAAGATATAATTATATATATGGAAATCTTGGGGATCATAGAATGAGAGCTGTGAGGGATGTTAGAAGCCAACAGACCTGTCCCCTCATTTTACAGATGAGGAAATTGAGACAGAGGGAAGAGAGGTTAAGTGACTTGGTCAGGGTCAGAGAGCTAGTGAGTGCCTGAGGCAGGAAATGAACAAAGATCTTTCTGACTCCAAGTTCAGCATTTTATTCACTATGGTCTAGGCAAAGGCTGGGTTAAAATTAGTATTTGTACAGTTGACCTATGTTAGGACAAGAAGGAATTTAATTCCTAGAAACCAGAAGTGATAAAGGGCCCCAAGCTACTCAGATACTAACAATCCTTAGAAAAATGTTTCTAGCAACTTTTTCCCATGATAAAAGACATAGGTTTCAAAAATGCCAAAATGCTCACAGAAGGACTTCTTGTGGTAGCAAAGAGATGGAAACAAAAAGTAGGTGCCTCCAGACTGGGGAACGGCTAAACAAACTGTGGTACATAAATTCAATGTAATATAATACACCATAAGAAATTATCAATATGAAGAACGTAGAAAAACATTAAAGGCTCATATGGACTGAAACAAAGTGAAATAAGTAGTAACAGAGAAACAATATACACAATGACTCTAATAATGTAAATGGAAATAACAATAAAGCAAAAGTGAACGCTATACAATTATAATGATCAAAAGCTCATTCTCAAAGAGGAAATGAGGCAATGCATTTCCCTCCCTCATTTTCAAAAGCAGAAGATTATGGGTGTAGAACTCTCAAATAAGTACTCCTTATACTAAGATGCTTAACTTTGTTGAATTGCCCTTCCCACCCTTCCTTTCTTATCCTTCCTTGTTAGGGTTGTTGCAGTAAAAGGAAGGATCTATTCAGAAATAAAGGTGATATAAAAACAAATCACTAAAAATTTTAAAAACCACAATAAATGCTGGTTGAAGTAATAAACTGACTAAAATTCAACCACACTAAAACTAATCAGTTACATTCTGAATTCATACAGTAGGTTCATTTCTAGCGCATATTAAAAACATATAAAATTTAGCCCTTGGTAAAAACTTCATTTGAAGAGGTTGCATTAATTAAAGCATTGCTTTATGGAATATATTTGGTAATATTCATATTAGATTACCCAAAAAAAAAAGCCCTAAACACAGAGCACATTAAAAACATATAAAGTTTGCCCTTGGTAAAAGCTAAAGAAATTCAAATAAAACTAATTCAGCACTTCAAGATGTAAGATTAAATATTACAATACCTTAATATATGTTATAATAATCTTAACATGAGTAAATGTTAGGCAGCACTTATGTATGTATATGCTTAAGTGTGTACATGTATATGTATATATTAATTCTTCCCACTGAAGTTGTTTATTCACAGGCGAAGTATCATTTTGTGACACACACCAGTTTACTATACCAAAGACCCTAGTGCAACTCAGGAACACAAACTAAAATATAACCTTGGGAACAAAAGCAAAACATAGAAAAGCAAAGTCCAATTGCTCCTTAAAGACTACTACCAGGACAACTGTGTTCAAATCCTACAGAAAAAGAGCAATGATTCAGTTTCACTAAAGAGAACTTAAAATAAACTAGGAAAAATATTTTCAGTATGGAGCATATCACTTGTTTTAATTTTGCTTCTATTTTATGCTATAGCAGTTACATCATACTCTTAATGGCTAACTTCTAGACTTTTCCAAAAATAAAGCAAAATCAAAATTTTGGTCAAGAAGGTACCTTATAGATAAGCTAGTACACTCTCTTCATTTTACAGATAATAGGGTCAGATTACTTGCCCAAAGTACTGTATGAAGTAATGAAGCTCAAACCAGAATCAAGTCTCCTTATTGTTCTCCATTTATATTTCTTACTGTTATCAGTCATGAATTTATGCTGGTAATGAATATTTTGGGGGGTCAAGGTTAAAATTGATTTGTAACCTGGAAAGTACCTAATAGTACAAAATCCTACTATATATAAGTAAACTCCAATTTCATTGTAAAGAAGTTTCAGAAATGCATTAACTACTTTTGGATAATTTAGTGGATAACATATTTCTGAAAATGACTAATTTACAACAAGTGAGTAACTAACTTACTAATATTCCAATAATCTGAGGATCTGTAATTTGGTTAGTACAGCTACTCGCTCTGTGAATACAAATCACCATTCCATTAAAAATTCATTATCTGAAATCTCATTATCATGAAGATTGTTTGAGCTTTGATATTTATTACCTCCTTAGCAATTTCAGTGGCCCCTCTACTCTGAATAGAGTGTTAAACAATAAACTCTTCTCATCAGTTGTTCTACTTGGTTTCTACTCAAGATTATCATAAAATTATGTACCCAAGGAGGTCCCCCCCACCACCTCCGGCCTTTCAGATTCCTTTTGTGTACTCTCTTCCCTCATTAGACTTAAGCTCCTGGAGGGAAGGATTTGTCTTTTTTATTAATTGTAACCCCAGTGCTTAACACAGTCCCTGGGACATATTTAGTATCTATTTATTGAATATTGAAAACTTAGACCTGTGATGAGCTTGAATGATTCCTAGCTAAAATCTAGAATATATTACCGAAGGAATGGCAAGTGAACATTTAAATCAGGAAGCCGTGATCACAAGGAACAAGTACAGCTTCTTAAGAACAGGGCATGCTGGACAAACCTTATATCCTTTCTTGTCAGGTATACAAAACTGATAAATCAAGCAGATGCTACAGCTTACCCAGATTTCAGCATTTGATAAAGGCTCTCAAGTAATTATGGGGGAAGGGGTGAATGAAAATATGTGGGCTATACACTAGTAAAATTAAATAAATTCAAAACTAATTGAATAGCTAGACCCAAAGAGTAGGCAACAGTGGCCTGATGTCAGCTTAGAAGCAAACCTCCAGTGCAGGGCCCATGGAATTGGTGCTAACATTTTTATCAATGACTTAGAAAAAAGCATAGATGATATATTCTTCAAATTTGTAAGATGACACAAAGCCACAAAGCTTGGGAGCATTGCACTGCATGACAAAGTCAGTATTCAAAAAGCTCTTTTTTTTTTCTTTTCTTTTTTTTTTTCCTTTTTAGGCAATTGGGGTTAAGTGACTTGCCCAGGGTCACATAGCTAGTAAGTGTTAAGTGTTTGTTCTGAGGCCAGATTTGAACTCAGGTCCTTCTAACTTCAGGGCCAGTGCTCTATCCACTGTGCCACCTAGCTGCCCCTCGAAAAAGCTATTAAAAGACAGACTAGAATATTGGGCCAAACCTACTAAGATAAATTCAATATGGATAATGTAAAATTTTATATTTGGGTTCAAAAAAGCTATTTCCAAAGTACAAAACAGAAGAGATCTACCTGAATAACAGTTTGTCTGAAAATGATCTAAGGGTTTTATTGAACTGAAAGGTTAATATGCATCAAGAGTGGGATACACCCATTGAGAAATCAAATGTGACCTTAAGCTACCTAAATTTAAGTCAGAGAGATAAAGCACCCAGGAACATGGAGGCTGACAGTCCAGTTTTACTCTGCCTTGGTCAGACTACATAAAGAGTCATGTAATCTGACTAAATTGACAGCTATCTTCAAGTATATGAAGAGATAACATGCCACTGGAGGGTTGTAAGCCAAGGCTAGATAATTACTTGTTAGGTATATTATAAAGGGAAGCCTTTCTCAGTTAGTCTAGACTAGATGGCCTCCAAGATCCCTTCTACCTTTGTGATTCTAGAGTTTCTATAACTCAAAATTCTTTACTCTAAAACTAGTCTGGCAATGAGCCTCTGTGAAACTAGCTAGACATCAGGCCTGGGCTCAAAGCTTTTCTTCACTTCCATTGCACCCAGAGCACCTCCACACTATGAGGCATCAGAATAGACCTTTAGAGGAAGAAACTGAACAAGATGGAAGACTGCTTTACTAAACTGAACAGAAACTAGGTTTTTTCCTCCCCAAATGTGACATACAAAGACCTCTTAGTTACTATGAACAGCTGGTCATAATACTTTCTCCAGTTACAAGCAAAAAACAAAAACAAAAACCGGCTTCCCCACCAGCATGGACATGAAGGAAGAGCCTAGGCTGGAAGATGCTATTGCTGTTGGCTGCAAAATAAGGGAGGCAGAACATTCCTGCTTGTGTACTATATACAACTGCCTTGGTCTCAAATCCCTTAGAGACAGTAAGCTCACCGCATAGCTTGTCAAACCCACCTTTCCTTCCCCTAAATCTCCAAAGAATAAGGGTCTTAGTGTGAGAGGCAACATGGTGGATAAAGGACTGGACTTGGAGTCAGAAAGACCTGAATTAAAATTCTGCCTCTGATATTTAGTAGCTGTGTGGCCTTGGGCAAGTCAGTCTCTGAGCCTCAGTTTCTTCATCTGTAAAAGGGGGATAATAATACCTTTACTATGTCGCTCATCGGAGTTCTGGGAGGGGGATCCCTTTCACTAACCATCCCAGAAATTAATAATTATATAGTGCTTTGAAGTGTACAGCTATTATCTTACATGAGCCTCACAGCAACCCTATGAGGGGATACTACAGGTATTATTACCCCAATTTTAGCAATGAGAAAACTGAGGCTCAGAAAGTTTAAGTGACTTGAATAAACAACCCAACTCTGGGAAAAACCTAAATTAACGGGACAGGAGCACAAGATTTGGAGCTCGGAAATTACAAATGAACTAATCCAACCTTTACTTTTGCAGAAGGGGAACTGAGGCAAAGGGCTTGTATCACATGCTGTAAATTTGAGAAAATTTCTCAAAACTATACTGCAACATTAACATTGGTTAAATCTAATATCTTTTTTAGTGTCAAATTGAAATAACTTGTTAAAAATACCTTTCAGACAGATCTTAATCCTCTATATTGGTTTTGTTTTAGTTATTCCACTGTACTATCACAGTCAGATCCTGAAATAATATTCCACTCAACCATAAATTTCAGCTAATCCTTTCTATAATGAAACTACTCAAAACTCTTCCTATACAATAGTAGAATAAATGTTACTTTCAGTAAAAAATTAAAAAGCCATCAACCTAACTATGGCCATAAAAATGCAACATCTTAGTTGAATAAATTAAACTTCACCAGAAGTAAGGAAAATCTTCCTAACAAGTTATAATCAATAGGCTGAATAGCAGAATAGGCTGTTCTCTAAGGTAGTTGAGTTCCATATTACTGAAGAAAAAAATGAGGGAATATGTAGCAAGGATTCTTCTTTAGAGACGGTTGGACTAGCTGACCTCTGAGGTCCTATGATTCTATGTCCAATATTTGGTCTTGACCAATATTTAGCTTTGTATAAAAACCATTACATAAGCTGTCAAAATTATTCATTTTTCACAAGCAGCCTAGAAATGAAGAAAAAAGGAAAAAAAGGCTCTAACCATCATACCAGAGCCATGTGAATGTCCATGACCTCCATGTTGGAAAGCAAATATTCCTATTAGGTTTACAACAAACCCAAGCACAGAAACAAGTAGTAGTCTCTCGTGGTGAACATCTGGAGGTGCTAATGCTCTCTAGAAAACACATAACACATAAGAGACAACATTAAAATCAAAACCTGATTAGATAAAATGATAAAAAAAATTAAAAGACAAAGCAAAAAATCATTAAGGTTAAAATAACTGCATTCAGTGGCTCTTATTTTCAAAAGAAAAAGCCAAATTCCAGTAACATAACTGTCTCACACGTAGTAGGCACTTAAAAGTGCTTGGTGAATTAGGTTGTAAGCCATCAGAGGACATAAGGTGGTAAATCAGAGAATCAAATATTTAAAGTTGGATGGGACCTTGGGGGTGATCTAGTCCAACCTCTTCATTTTACAGATAAGGAAACTGAGGCCCTGAGTTTAAGTGACTTGCTCAAGGTAAGACACAGGTAGTTAAGCGGCACAGATAGTAAATGTTGGAGGCTGGATTTCGGCCCTCCTCCTCTGATTCCAAATTCTGTGCTCTTTCCATTGCATCATGAAATGTTAAGATCACAAACCATAAAATAGAGTAATTATACTACTTAAATAATACAAGGACCTGTGACTTTATTTGGGTAGCACTTTCCTAGACCCTTCTAGATGATAGATGGTCCTCAAGAATTTCTTGAAGAGGGTCTTTACCCATAGGCAATCTGGTGATGAACTTCATCATTATAACTAATAATAGCGATGATAATAATAATATCTCCATAAAATGTCTATTTGCATGAATCCTACAACTGGCTCAACATTGCTCTTTTTTTGGTTTCCTGATACATTGTTTTTCTCTGTCTATTATGTCCTTGTACAACCTAGGTCAGGAATAATCTTTGAATATGAAGTATTTCCTGATTAACCCCACACTAACTGGATCGTTAACTTTGTATATTCTTAACTCTTTGCACATAATTCATATTGCATTATTATGAATTGTTTTGGTTTGTTTTCAAGTTGTTTCAAATAATAGCCTATTTCACTAGAGAAGGTAGATTATAAACTCCTCAAATGCGGAGTTAGTGTCTTTCTTCTCCTGCTAACAGATCTTCTGTTTTATTTAATATATCAGTATCAGTGAGAATCCCTCAATAAATGCTTGCTGCATTACTGAAAGAATGAAAAATAGCTCTAATAGAATATGTCTAGAAATGAAAAGTCATACTTCAGAAAAAAAAAAAGATTTACTGATTCTATTATACTGTACCTCAACACCTTCAGAGAAAATAAAAAAGGCAGTGAAGATCAAAAATAGGCCATTTACAAAACCAGCCAGAACTTCCGCTCTAACATACCTGGGGAATGACCAAACAATTGAATTATTAACTGCAAAGGCATATAATAAATTCACATTTTTTCAAAGGTTTAAATCTATACTGCATAGTTCATACTTCCAAAAATGTTCCAGGAATCTATAAATACAAATGGTGTGAATGGAGGAATGGGAGGGAGAAGGGCATGGGAATGATTAAAGAAGCGCTATAATTAACAGTTACACCAAACAGTTATAACGATACCAAACACAGATTACTAAGGAATAATTGGGAAATACTTATTAGAGAAAATCAACTTGGAAAACCCTTAGACAGACATGCAAATCCAAAACTGCCTCAGGATCACTAAATTAGAGAGAAATTTAGAGTCAGACAATGGGTCAGATGGACAAAAGCAAGGGTGGAAAAAAAAGACAAGGAGGAAAGATTTCAGTAAATTATACCTTTTCATTTTTTTAAAGAACTGCTTTACAGTTTCTGCCTTTCTACACTTAAGTTACAGAAACTAACTTTGAGCTAAAGAAAAACAATTGATTCAGCTTCAAGGATTATTACAAAAGCAATCTGACATTCGTATTTCCATCACTACTGTCAGAGAGTCTAACAAAGATTTTTCAAAATCTCCATTTTTAATGTCAATTCTAGCTTTCAATTGGAACTATATTTGCTAAATACTAGTGATTTCTCCCTAGATTTCTGAAACTTTTAGATTCCTATCAGAGTAAAGTATGAGGGGGAGGAAAAGATCTTATTTTTCCTTTTATGTTTATTCTGTTTGACTAAAATCACTAGACACAATTTTAATTTAGCTTTCATTCATTTTCAAAGACGCTGACACTTAAGTTAATCGACATACTTAAAAAACCGTATTAGGATACATAAAAATTGCTGGCTGATAGAACGTTTTGAAGTAAAAAGGAAAACGTTACAACTACAGCATAATATTTCAATTTTAGATAACTTAGTTATACTTGGTCTTGTCCTAATTCCAACATGTCCTTTAGGTCTACACAAAGAAATAATGTGTATGTCCATAGCAATATAAGACACCAACAATTAGCATTATTTACAAGCTCTATGTTTCAAATATAATCAATAAATGCATTTAGAAGAGACAAAATGACAACACAAAACAAAGGAGCCCAAGCTGCTCTGTTAAAAGAAAGCCTGGTGACTACATGAATATACTTTTCTGTTCCCACAGCTAATTGCTAGTTTAATTAGATTTGCTTTGATTAGCCTTGCTGGCTAGTATACAAGGGTATATTTGCATACCCCAGACTCCCTGGTATGTATGAACTACAAAATTTATGAAAAATAAGATGTATTTGTATTTACTAAAACTCTTACTTAAAAGAGATCAAAAAGTATATTTTATATATCTACTACTGACTTTTCTTCCAAAGATCCTTATTGGTCTTCAAAATTTGCTATAATAATACAAAAAATACATTTATGTGTACAAGGGTTATAGATACACCACAATTATACTCTGAATGACTGATAGCTAAATTTCTCATTTTGTAGATCACACAATTCTGGGAGGGATAGCTAATGTGTTAAGACAATAGATTCAAGATCCAAAAAGATCTTGACAAACTAATGTTGAATCAATCTAAAAAGATTATATTTATTAACAAAAAATTTAAAGTCTTAAAACTTGGGTAAAAAAAAATCAACTTCCTAAAGATGCAATAGAGGAGTTTGAATGGCAAGATAACAGTAAGAGTTGGGGACTTCGGTGGACTGAAAGTCAATAGGCATTAATACTCTGAAATAATTGCTCAAAACAAGCCACCATGCTCTTTGGATCCATTAAGAAAGGCAGAAATAAGGTGTGAGAACCTCTATATGCTGCCCTGGTCGAACTACCTTGGGAGTACTGGGTTTAGTTCTGAGTACCATCTTTGGGAAAGGCATTGATCAGATACTCCAGAGTAACCAGAAAATGATAATAAAGATGGTGAAGGGCCTCAAGTACATGCCTTATGCAACTGTAGAAAGAAATGACTATGTTTAAAGCCGTTTTAGGAGAGACATAGTAGCTATGTTCAAAGTACCTGAAAGGTTATCATGCAAAAGAAGGCTTTGTTTTGTCTTGTTTGTCCCCAGAGTACAGAACCAGAAACAAAAGTATTGTGGAATCTGCAAAGAGGCAGATTTAAGCATGATATAAAGAAAAACTTAAAGCTAGTCAGTGCTGAAATGGGCTGCCTCGTTACCCCTCAGCAAAGGCCTTCAAGGAAAGCCTGCACTGCCAGGAATATTGTAGGAAAAATTCTTATTTAGGTAAAGGTTAGACTAGGTGACTTCTGAGGGACCCTCCAACTCTTAAGAGTCTATGATTCTACTGCTTATCACAAATACTTTTTATCCAGTCTCATAAGTTAAAAGATAATGGTGTAAAAAGGATGACTATTAATAAAGCAAATATTTAATTTGCTCACTGCTTCTTTCCTTCCTTTACTGCAGCTCCAGCCTGCTATTCTATCCAGAGTCTCTCTAGCCCCAAGCACTGTGGAATTTATCCACAGGCTTAATGCCTGACCATGGGGAGTCAAGCATCCAGCTCAGCTGTCACAGGGGCCAAAATCTAAAAATGTTCCTATGGCCAATAATAGCTACATTGGCTACTGTGAGTAGTCCTTGAATGTTGTACAAGAAGTCTCCCCCTTTTATTCCCTTTCCTGAGAGAGAAAGAAAGAAAGAAAGATGGGGATGGTAAAAGAATCAGCCTATCCAGTGACAATCCACCAGGTGATGTTTACCTGTTTACCACAGATTCAACTCAAGCCATTATCTGTCCCAGTTATTACGGTCACTCTCTTTATACCAACTTTATTGCACCCCCCAAATACAATTGCAATCATTATACTAAGGTAACCCCTGCATAAGTGAACATGGTACATAAACCCATTTCAAATATAAAATGCTGGCCAACATCAACAATTATAAATTGTCCTACTGACTAAGCTTGTCCAAAACTACCAGAGAAAATATCATGCATTAACCATGGATTCAAAGGGAAATCAATTATGATTCTACAAATAAAAGGTGTTTTATACGGAAAAAAATATATATATATGTCAGGACAAACACTTGATGAACTAACAATTTAATTTACAAATGAAAATGTTGAAAAACTTTATAGTTGTTTTCCAAAATGTTAGAATTAAAGGTATCGTAAACTTCTTTTATGCAGGAGAACTGGAGACTGGGTTTCTTGGTTAAATGTATATTTTGCTTAACAAGCACCAAACATACAATACATAGATTACTGATTTTCAAATAGGAAAAATGCATAGCATTAAAACTATACTGAATAAAATTTAATCATTTTTAATAATTTAGAAGGCATTTTATGATCTTGTGGTGTCTAAGGCTCAAAAAAAGGTTTTAGCACATGTGCTAGTCACAATAATATGAACAATTTGCTTTTTATTTCATCCTTCATGTTTGCAAAATTGAATATTAGGAGAGACCTGAACTATAGCCATGACACATGTCAATCAACACATTGACAGAAACACACAGCAACTCCACCATCCACAATAACATAAAAGAATGTTTGTAGAATAAATGAATGAATTACAAAGAACAAATCACAGGACAGTTAAAAATGTATTTTGTAAACTCTAATGTATTACACAAATGTGAGCTACTATTGGTCTCAAAGAATACAGTTCAGGATGGAGACCAGATCACTCAGTACAGTGCCTTGGACAAAGCAAAACAATCAAGTTCATCTTTTTAAAAACCATTACAACAGCCTGCATATAAACATCGCTACAAAATATATAAGAATATATAAATAAGGAACATAAGTCTCCATCTACTCTATAATACAATGACTCTAAATACATTATCATCATGCATGTTGAGTTGTTTCAGTTGTGATCCCATTTGGAATTTTTCATGGCAAAGATTATGGAGTGGCTTGCCATTTCCTTCTCCAGCTCATTTTACAGATGAGGAACTAAGGCAAACAGGGTGAAGTGACTTGCCTAGGGTCACACAGCTAATAAGTGTCTGAGGCCACATTTGAAACTGAGGTCCTCCTGACTCCAGGGCTGGCACCCTATCCACTGTACCACCTAACTGACCCTTATCATGCTACAAACATGAAAACAAAAACTCACTTTTCTTCATGTGATTTAAATTTTGCAAAGGCTCTAATGACAATCACACTGTAAGGTAGGTTGTACAAGTATTTTAATCCACATTTTAGTAAACGTGATGGAGAAGCAGAGGCTTGAGAGAGTAAATGAGGTCACATAACACTTAAATATCAGAGGTAAGATTCAAACCCTGACAACAAATTCAAGGCTCTACTTCACCATTATCATAAAAAACTTCTTTACATTAAAAAAAAGTTTATTTTTTTTTACCAGTTTAAATATGAAAGGTTAATGTTCTCTACATGTTTATCTTTTCACCTAAAATGCTATTAAGATTTTGTGAAATAAATGTCTCTTACCCATAGGAAAAAGCATCATTATCTCTCCATTTTGAAATTACTGAAGCTGCCAGTCCAGCTAGGATAGCAGTGCTGTCGAAGAACATGTGAAAAGAATCGGAAATCAAGCCTAAACTGGGAGAAAAAAAACACACACATTAAGTCATAATTATAACCAAATATTAAGCACTCTACCTATACTGAAAAATGTCAATCTAGTAACAATCCATGAGGAATTTCCATTCTTAAAAAGCCAACAAAGAAACATAAAGGACACAATTTCACATATGAAGAAAAGAGAATATTGAAGATAACTATATAATACTTTCAAATATAGGTTATCAAGGAATATATAAACTAATTAATAGTTTAATGTTACTTGGGCATCAACCTCTTGCAATCTGGCTTCAGACACTAAAACTCTCTCTCTCCAAGGTTACCAATGATCTCCTAAATGCTAAATCCAAAAGATTTTTCTCAGCCTTCATCTCTCTAGATCTGTTTATATCTTCTGATTTGATCATTCCCTCTTCCTAGATACTATATATGAATGGTGTCAAACTCAAAAAGAAATGGAGGTCACTACATCATAGGCAGGAATTCCTATGACCATATAATGACTTAGTTTTAAAATATAGTATCATCTATGTTTTATTTTATTTTTATTTTGTTAAGTATTTTTTCAATTATATTTTAATCTAGTTGGACCCATTTGCAAATATTGTGGGCCACATGTCCTATGTCCAACATTTCTGTTCTACGCTTTCTGGATTTTGCTGACATTAAGTGTTTCTGGTTCTTCATCTAACTCATCTGACCTCATTCCTTCAGTTTCCTTTGCTGAATTTGTCATCTCTTATGTGTGGATGTAACTCAGAGATTTTTCCTGGGCCACCTTCTCCCTGTATTCTTTGATGATGTCTTAAATTTTCATGAGTTCAGTTCTATATAGATGACTCCTCTTTCTTCTGAGCTCCAATTTTGCATCATGTACCTACTAAGTATCTGAAGCTCAACGTGACTTACACAGAACTCATCACCGCGCCCTCTAAAAAAAAAAAATTCTACTTCTTTTTAAGGCTCCCAATTTGTGTTAAAGGTACTATCAAGCTTCTAGTCACCCAGATTCAAAACCTTATCTAAGCCATGCTCCATTCTTTCTTCTCTTCATACCTTTCATACCCAATCAGTTATAAAGTCTTGTAGATTGTACCTCCACATCTTTAGTACCTTTCCACCGGTTCTATTTATGTAGCTACTACCCTATGTCAGGGCCCTCATCACCTCACCTGGACCACATCTCGGCCTGTCTCTAGTCTCATGCCCCTTCAGTCCCTCTTCCACACAGAAGCCAGGTTATTTTCCATCATTCCCAAAGCACACTGACTGCCACTCCCCTGCTTAAGATGCTTCCTGTTATTACTAGGATAAAATACAAAACCCTCTGCCTGGCATTTAAAGCAGTTCACAATCTGGCTCTAACCTCTTTCTAGACTGACCTGATAAACTCTATTATTCTTTATAAACTCTGTTTCACCCAAACTGCTCTACTTGCTGTTTCTATACATGACATTCCATCTAACACCTTCATTCCTTTGTATAGGCTTTCCCTTATTCCTGGAATGCTCTCCCTCCTAACCTTTGCCTCAAAAAACCCCACAATTCTTTCAAAGTACATTTCAGCTACCACTTCCAACAAGAAGCTTTTTGTCATCCCTCGAATGTTAGGGTTCTCTTTTCCCTAAAAAAATCCTTTTTATTGACTTTATGTATTTTATATATACTTAAACATGTTTTTCCCCAAGTTGAATGAATCCAAATACTTGGCTCCTCACTGTCGGAGTATATAACAGGTACATAATAAATATGTATTGAATCACAGAGTTCAGCACCTGACTCATATTGATTCCTCAAACTCTCTCACCTCTTGACTCCTCAATTTCCTTAAATCCTACAACCCATTCCTGTCTCTACCTCAGCTACACATGAGATGTCACACACTGGATCTCATTATCCTCTATACGTGTCTCAGTATCCTCTATACGTGTCCAACTTCCTGACTTCCTCTCTCTGCAGGGCCAAATAACTCTGGCTCTCTTCCTTCCGTCCTTCTTTACTTCCCTCCCTCCTCTCTTTCTTCTCCCTCCTCTACCTCTGTCCACATAGGAAATTATAACCTTATCTGCAAGTACTCAACCCAAAAGAATATAAATTCTGTTGGCTGAAACTTCATAAGATATCTTGGGGTTTACACACTAGATTTCTCTTTTAAGGACCACGCCTAAACTCAAATCACTCCAGCTCTCTTTAATTGGTCAACAATAGGTCCCAGCCCAAGCCTCACTTGGTCATTGTTTGGGTCCTGATGGCTTAGAGTGAGTGTAAATAGCAATTGTTTCTGTTTTGACCAGAAACCCTGAGGTCTTCCCCTCCCAGATTGATTTTTTTTTTTTTTTTTTTTTTGGCTAGGTAAGAGGCCATTCTCTGCCTCATTTTTTACCTAACCTTAATCACTAAATGGCGCTTTGCCTCAGTCAGACTGAGGCCTGTTAAAGACCTTAGCTTAAACAAGCCAAGGTCTCCCGCTGCATCCAGGGCCAATTCCAGTCATCCTGATCTATATCTGGTCACTGGACCCAGATGGCTGTGAAGGGTGACTGCACAGCCCTCCCTCACTTAAATCCAATTCACTTACATGTCATGGCATCACCTCCCTAATGTCATGGTCCTCTTCGAGAATGAAGGTCAAACAACAACCTCCTTCACAATGCTTCAAAAATGATTTTCCTTAAGTACAGATATGACTATGTTACTCTCCTAATATCTCTACAATAAACTATAAACTCCTCTGTTTGGTAAAGCTCTTCATAACTTGGCCCCAACCTATCTTTCCAACCTCATCAGGCATTACTTCCCTTCCCACACCCTGTGTTCCCATCAAACTGGCCTTCTGTGTTCTTCACACTCAACATCTCATCCTCCCTTCCCTGTCCTCAGTATTTGCACTGTACTGATTCCTCACATATACCTCAAAAAATTCCTTTCTTCCTAAAAGACACAGTTCATGTGCCACTTTCCAAACGAAGTCTTTCCTGATGACCCCAACTACTAATGCCCTTCCTTCTAAAATACCAAGTAGTTAAAATATTTTGTATTCTTCCTATTTATTTTCTTTATATTTTCTGTGTATGTGTGTGTAATATATGAGTGTCCCATCAGCCATACTATAGTTTTAAGTTTTGAACTTAAATAACTAATAGCTTAAAATTACTAAACTAGTTGTTGTGTCTTCCATTAGAATGTAAGCTCCTTGAGACACGATCAGTTTTTCCCCCATTCTATTTTTATCCCCAGCACCTAGCTCTGACACATGACAGATGCTTAATAAATGCTTGCTGATTAAACTGAATTGAGACTATTTTCATTTTTTATACAGCAATGTTTATATTACACTAAGGTTACATTACTGATCACATATGCATTTTTTTAGCATAAATACTCAGGAACATTTAGGTCACTTTTGTGTTCCTCTGTTTTATAATCAGAGATACACTCCTTTTCCAATCCACTGGTATCTCAACTCAATTATAAGTACGCCTGATCTCTCAGTCCACAACCTTGACCCTACTGCTGTACCTGATACTTCTGACTAGTCCCTCTCCTTCTGGAGATTTTCTGTTTTTCCTCAATCTGGCTTGCTATGTCATCATGTTTATCACTGATATGGTGGGAGGGAGGGAGGAAATAAGTATTTATATAGCACCTACTTTGTGCCAGGCACTGTGCTAAGTGTTTTTTATAAATATTATTTCATTTGATCTTCGCAATAGCCCCATGTGGTAGGTGCTGTTATTACCCCCATTTTACATTTGAGGAAACTGAGGCAAACAGAGGTTAAATGACTTGTTCAGGGTCACACTGTTAGTAAATGTCTAAGGCTGGATTTGAACTCACGTCTTCCTGACTCCAGGCCCAGACTCCATCCACTGTGCCACCTACCTGTGCCATATCCTGATGACTTACTGACCAGATGAATTTACAGATGAAGATGAGAGGGGCTACGTTCAAAGAAGTTAAGTGCCACTTAGTTTGTCCTTGTTGAATATTATTGCTGGGTTAGGCAAAATAAACCACCTACATTAAATGTTCAAAGACTTGCAAATGCCTCATTTCATTCTAACACTGAACTTGAACTATGAGGATGCTGTCATTAAAGCCACTGTCACAACATGCATTTCTCCTAACTATAGGTGTACCCCAAGGCTTTGTAATGAGTTCTTTTCTCTCTAAATATTCTCTCTGGGTTACCTCCATAAGCTCCTATGGGCTTAATTCCCAACTCTATGCACATGACTCACAGATCTCTCTATTCAGTCCCAGTTTCTCTTAAGCTCCAAACTCATACCATCAACTGCCTATTAGACATATTAAACTAGGTCTCCCACAGTCCACTTCAAACTCTCATATGTTTAATACAAAACTCATTTTCTCTTCCTCCCCTAATCCATCCTTCTACCAAAATTTCCCAATTTTTGTCAAGGGACCATTCTTCTGGTCTACCAGGTTTATAACTGAGACATTATCCTCAAGCTCTCACTCTTCCTTACCCCACATATCTATCAGTTGTCAAATGTTGCCATTTCTACCTTTACAACATCTCTTACATCTAACCTCTTCTTTATACTCACACAGCCATAACCTCAGATCAGGCCCTCAGCACCTCTCCCCTAGACTATTTCAATATTCTCCTAATTGGTCTTCCTCACTCAAGTCCTCCACACTCCAAAAGGGGGAATGGGGATCAGAATAAGCATTTATACAGTGCATGTTAAGTGCCAGGCACCACGCTAAGCACTTTACAAGTATTATCTCATCTGATTCTCATAACAACCCTGGGAAGTGAGTGCTGTTATTAATGTCTGGTATGTATGCTGTGAAAGAAAAGAATGATGCATAAAAATATTCTTCTTGGGGCACCTAGGTGGCTCAGTAGATAGAGCTCTGGGCTTGAAGTTAGGAAAACTCATCTTGGCGAATTCAAATCCAACCTCAGACACTTACTAGCTGTGCGACCCTGGGCAAATCACTTCACCTTGTTTGCCTCAGTTCCTCATCTCTAAGATGAGTTGGAAAAG